ATAATACAAGAGGTGTTAGATCACTATTGTCTTTTGTGGCTGAGTAGTACTCCATGGTATATATATACCGTATTTTATTAATCCACTTGTGGAAATATCATTTTTTCATTTACATTTAGTTTTATAGATAATCTTTTATACCATTTTAACATTTTATCTTTTATAACTCATTGTCTTTTTTCTTTTATCTCTCTAAAAATACAAACTATGTTATATGCTTTTTATTTTTACTTTTAAGTATTTCATAAGGTTTATAAGGTCTGATTTTACTCAATTAGTAGTTACTTTCAACTTTTCAAATTCATTCTTTAATCTATATTTCTGAGATTGTCACAGTTGAATTTTAAACCATATTGTTCAACCGTATTGTTTTCATGCTTGAAATAAATCATTTAACTCACATTTCCCTTTACCAGTCAACTCAAAAGTGTGAGGTTGTTTATATAATTCGAAGCTTTACATTCAAATAGGTATTATTTGGAATTTTTCTTCTGTTCCTATAATATCTGTTTCTCTATGGTAACATTTTTCTTTTTTAAAATTTATTCTTTCTAATATTGGAGCATTTCCTCAAATGTCTATCAATTTGTAGTTATCTGTTCCTACATAAGAGGAAGCTCCAGAAATCAGCCAATGTGATCCACCAAATTAAAAAATACAAATGAAAAACCATATGAATACCTCAGTAGATATACTTGATAAAATTCAACATCTGTTCATGACAAAATTCTAAGCAAATTAGGAATAGGTAGGAACTACCTTAGTCTGTTTCAAAATATATATTTATTTATTTATAATATATGTGTGGTATATACATGCACATCAACATCATACTTAATGGTGATACTTAATGCTTTTTTTCTAAAATTGGAAACAAGGCAAGGAAGTCTACTCTCACCACTTCAACATTATATTTAAACTCCTAACCAGTATAGTAAGACAAGAAACAATTGTTAGAAAAGAAATAGCAAAATTGTCTTTATTTACTCATGACATGATTATTTTTCTTTTTTTAAATTTTAAAATATTAAGGAGGTACAAATATTTTAGGTTATATGGATCATTTTTGTAATGTTTGAGTCCCAGCTATAGGTGTGCCATCACCCAAATAGCGCTCCTACTACCCATTAGCTTGGTTTATTTCCCTCCCTCCTCTCTTCCTCCTGCTAGATTTCCACTGAGTTTTACTTCCTTCTGTGCACATGTGTGCATATTGGCAAATTCCAATTTAATAGTGAGTATATGTGGTGTTTGTTTTTCTATTCTTGAGACATTTCACTTAAGAAAATTGTCTCCAGGTCTATCCAGATTGTTGCAAAAAGCATTAATTCTTCCTTTTTATGGCTGAGTAGTACTCCATGGTATACATATACCACATTATTCTAATCCCCTCATGAATTGATGGGCACCTGGGGTTGATTCCACATCTTTGCGATTGTGAATTGGGCTGCAATAAACATTAGAGTGCAGGTGCCTTTTTGATGAAAGGACTTCTTTTCCTTTGGGTAGATATCCAGTAGTGGGATTGCTGGATTGAATGGTAGGTCTATTTTTAGTTTTTTGAGAAATCTCCATACTGTCTTTCATAGAGGTTGTACTAATTTGCAGTCCCACCAACAGTATATAAACATTCCTTTCTCTCTGCATCCATACCAACATCTGTTGTTTTTGGAATTTTTAATAAAAGCCATTCTGACTGGGGTAAGGTGATATCTCATTTTGGTTTTAATTTGGATTTCCCTGATGATTAGTGATGTTGAGCATTTTACATATGTTTATTGATCATTTGTCTTTCTTCTTTTGTCTGTCTTCTTCTTCTGTTCATGTCTTTTGTCCACTTTTTAATAGGGCATTTTTTTGTTGTTGTTGTTGATTTACTTGAGTTCTCTGTAAATTTTGGTTATTCGCCCTTTATCAGATGTGTAGCTTGTAAATATTTTCTCCCATTTTGTAGGTTGTCTATTTGCTCTGTTGATTGTTTCCTTGGCTGTGCAGAAGCTTTTTACGTTAATAAAATCTCATTTATTAATTTTTGTTGTTGCCATCGGGGCCTTAGTCATAAATTCTTTGCCCAGGTCAATGTCTGGAAGAATTTTTCCTACATTTTCCTATAGAGTTCTTATGGTTTCATTTTTAGATATAAATCTTTTATCCATCTTGAGTTTATTTTTGTGAGTGGTGAGAGGTAGGGGTCCAGTTTCATTCTTCTGCATGTGGCTATCCAATTATCCCAGCACAATTTAAAGGAAAAATACAGACCAAAATCCCTTATGAATATAGGTGAACAAATCCTCAATAAAATATTAGCAAGCAAAATTCAATAGCTCATCAAAAAAAAAAATAATAATCCACCAGAAGCAAGTGGGCTTCATTCCAGGTATGCAAGATTAGTTCAATATGTGTAAATCAATACATGTGATTCACCACATGAAAAAAGGCAAAAACACAGACCATATGATCATCTCAATACATGCAGAAAAAGCATTTGACAAAATCCAGCACCCTTTCATGATAATAACCCTCAAACTAGTCATAGAAAGAATGTCTCAGAATTCTAAAACTTATATATAAAAAACCCATAGCCAACATCATACTGAAGGGGAAGAGTTGAAAGTATTCCCTTAAGAACTATAATAAGACAGGGATGCCCACTGTCAACACTTGTATTCAACATAGTGCTGAAAGTTCTAGCCACAGCAATCAGGCAAGAGAAGAATATTAAGGGTATCCAAATCAAGAAAGAGGATGTCAAACTATTGCTCTTCACTGATGATACAATATTATATCTAGAATACCCCAAAGATCCTACCAAGAGTCTTTTGGAACTGATAAATAAATTCAGCAAAATCTCAGGATACAAAATCAATGTACACAAATCAGTAGCATTTCTGTACATTATACTAATAACAGTCAAGCTAAGAGTCAAATCAAAGACTCAATACCATTCCCTATAGCCATAATGAAAAGAAAATATCCAGGAATATACTTAATAAACAAGGTGAAAGATATCTACAAGGAGAATTAGGAAACTCTGAGGAAAAAAATTGCAGAGGATACAAACAAATGGAAAAGCATACCATGCTCTTGGTTAGTAGAATCAACATTGTTAAAATGTCCATACTATCCAAAGTGATTTACAGATTCAATGCAATCCCCATCAAGTTCCAAAGTCATACTTCAGAGATCTATAAAAAATAATTCTGTGCTTCATTTGGAACCAGAAAAGAGTACACATAGCCAAAGCAATATTAAACATAAAGAAGAAATCTGTACAGATCACATTACCAGATTTCAGAGTATACTATAAGGCTATAGTAACCAAACAGCACAGTCTAAGTACAAAAATAGACACATAGACCAATGGAACAGAACCCAGAACCCAGATATAAAACCACCCATATATAACCAACTGATCTTGGACATAGCAAACAACAACATACACTGGGGAAAATAAGCCATGGACATGATTATTTTCTATAAAATCCCAAGAAAATGCAAAATACTTTACTAGAACTAAACACAAATTTAGCAATATCATAAATACATGATTAATGTTTTTCAAACCAATTCTATTTCCATATACCACTAACAAACAATTTAGAAAGCAATACTAAAGTAGCTTCAAAAATAATAAAATAACTAGGAATGCATCTCATGAAAGGTATGCATGACTTATATACTGAAAACTGTAAATAGTGCTATGTAAAATTAAATAAAACTAAATAAATTACATACAATGTTAATACATTGGAAACTCAATATTGTTAAGATGTCAGTTCTTTATTCATAATTTCAGTGCAAACCCAATCAAAATTCAAAAGGCTTTTCTTGTAGACATTTACAAATTGATTTGAAAAGACAAATGTAAAACAAAAGAACATAAAAAATCCAAGACAATCTTTTCTAATTGACTTGAAGATTTTCTTTAACTTCTAGTTCTCAAGCCAAAATGATCTTAGCATAAAGGTAGACAAATATGTCAATAGTACAGCATAGAATTCTCAGAAAAAGACACATTTATATGGTAAATTGCTTTTGGAATATTTTTATGACCTTGGTGTAGGCAGAGATTTCTTAGATAGTACACTAAAGCCATCAACCATAAAAGAAAAAAAATGATACATTGAACTTCCTCAAAATTAAAAATGTCTCTCCATCAAAAAACATGGTTAAGAAAATGAGAGGCAAACCACAGACTGGGAGAACTTATTTATAATACCTAAATCAGACACAACACTCCTTCCCATACTATGTAAAAAAAACCCTTCTACCCATCAATAAGTAAAAGAAAACTTAATAATATCAATGGGTCAAAGCTTTGAACAGACACATTTTTGAAATTCAGATGCCTAAAAAGATTCACTATATATAACAACAGCACAAAGAAATTTATATTAACACAAAGCAGATGTCCCAGGAGATATCATTGACATTTTGATGAAATTCTCCATTTATACCTTATTATATCATTATCTTTATTAAACCACATGGTATTATTTATGAATTAATTTCATGACATAGCATGATATTTCTCCCTTAACAGCTTGTTGTTATCATTCTGATGTTGTTTTTTATCTTTATGAGACTTATTTTCTCTTAGTTTTTGATTAAGATGCATTTTCAATGTTGGATTTTATTTTTATACTATTGTTTTTCATTTCTCTATGAATGACCTACTTACTCCATGTTGGTTTTATAGGAATTTAGATTTTTTAATTCAAAAATATTTCAGTTATGTTTACGTAAAGATATCTTTACAATGGCTTTGATCAGGATGGACAGCAATTTTTCAGTCCTATATATTAGTTTTCATAACCTCCACGCTTTCTTCTATTACATCTTTGTTGTTTCATTTCCATTTACTCTGGCCTGTACTCAGGATCACCTATTTTACATATGTTGGTTCTTCATAGCTTATCAGTCATATATAAAATCTTACATCCTCCACAAACATCTTGGAATCTTGATGGCTGTTTTTACATGGTATTCTCTTTCTCTAGGATGGCCACAGAAGAGCAGAACATAGAGGACAGGCTTATCTGTGACCGTATATTCACTCACTTCAAAAAACATAAGGTGGAGATTTCATGTGCAATAAGAAAGACATTTCCATTCCTTGAGCGCCTCCGTGACCATGAATTCATCACAGAAAAAATGTTTGAAGTAAGTAAAGTTTATTATGTCACAATCTGGTAAACCAGCTGCAAAGTAAACTGGGCTTTGATATCCTAGACCTAAACTTCAGGTTACAAGTAGCTGACTGAGTGGTGTTCTATGAGTGGGGTATCTTTTCCAGTATTTCCGTAAGTGCTCCTGTAAGGCAGAGGGGGAGGGGAGCAGCAGAAATCACCAAAGATAATCCTGCTTCTAACTGAGGGAATGGGGTCCATGGCACCCTGTGGTGTCAGGGTGAATGGCATGTAAATAAGCTGGGTCAGAAATAGACACACTCCATAACTGTACAGTGTCTTGTAGGGAAACACACACAATAGAACATAAACTAAAAGTTTAAAATAATTTTATGGATTCATGAGTAATTTTAATAAATTGATTTACTGAAATGGTAATTGGCATGTGGCATTTTATTTTAATTAATATCAATTTAAAATATCTACATCTAAGAACATTAAAACTCAAAGGAAATTAGTGTCTGGTTAGGGCAAATTTGGGAGTAGATGTTTACTACTCTTTCTGCAGCATCTTGCAGGTTTCTTTTTCTTTCCATTTTTAATTTTTCAAATCTGGGTAATTTCACCAATAGGCCCTGTCCCGGCCCGCGGGACCTTCTGTTACTCACAGGGGCGAGGGGGACCATGCCTGAAAGAGATGGGCGAGAGAAAGGAACGAGACCAAGCAAAGGGTTGTCAAGGTCTACTTTACTTGGATTTTTAGTAGGTTTTATATACAGAAACAAGAAGTAGAAACAGAAAATAGAATGGGGGAATGATGAGGGTTTCTGTGGGCTAATCAGCCCCAATCAGTCCCAATGGCACCGGAAGCTGTTTGTGATGGATCACTCAACCCACACCTGGCAGGGGGTTGGAACAATTGCAGGTAGCATGCCCTAGGCAAGCACGGCATGGGATGCATTCTTCTCGAACTATAGCTGGGGGGCTGCGGTGCTATTTTCGTCTTAGGCTATTTTCCGGGCGAGGCCTCTGCGTAGGACAAGTCAGGACAAGTTGTTGAAGTGGAGGTCTTAGTCTCCAACAAGCCCATTGGAGATACAGAACAGCGAGTCTTCTCTTTGCCCATGAATGTGCCTCCTCTGTGGCCAACCTTACGGCAAGGGGAGGATGGTCACCTGGTTTCCCTGATTCCTTCAGGCCAAGGCGGTCCTGGGGAAAGGGCAGGGTTGTTCAGCCAACTTTAGAACAGCCACTCATCACCTGCTAAATCTATTCCTAAAACATCTGGGGCCAGGCTCTTAAAGGTTACACATCTTTAACTTTAACCCTTTTAGTCTTCAGAATTGCCTCTTTTACATCAACTTAAATTAGAGTGAGGAGACCAGACTTATCAATGGGGTACTTTTAAGGATGAAGGACTTACTTGTTCCATTTGGTGCTATATGAATATATAAAAATTGCAAAACATTAGTTAGCTATGTGAATATATAAAATTACAAAACATGAGAAGATGCCTATGTAGGGAAACTGGAATACACTAGTCATAAAATTACTTTCAGCGGCCTTTGAAATCTGTTTTATTTTTTCCATTCATTATTTTTTAAGGATTTCAGGAATCTTGTAGAAACCTGGTCCCTGTACAAAGAGTGTGTACAACGTTCTCAATGTGCTGGAGAGAATTTTAACCTAGAAGTTCTGAGATGCTGTTCAGCAATGTCCACATGAAGGAATACCCTGATTTAATTCCATTTATAAAAGCTTCATAAATGGTAATTAGGTTATTACCTACCATTTGAGGTCCAGGTCAATGTTTATTTTTTTATTTTATTTTATTTTATTTTTTCAGCATATTGTGGGTTACAAACATTAAGGTTACATATATTGCCCTTGCCCCCTCCCACTCGAGTCAGAACCTCAATTGTGTCCAGCCCCAGTTGGTGCGCATCACATTCATTATATAGTATATACCCGTCCCCTCCCCCCACCTCCAACACCTGATAAATGTTACCCCCATATGTCCACTTAGGTGTTGATCAGTTAATACCAATTGCTGGTGAGTACATGTGGTGCTTTTTTCCATTCTTGGGATAATTCACTTAGTAGAATGGTTCCAGCTCTAGCCAGGAAAATACAAGCAGGGCCAATGTTTTAACCAAGCACATATTGGGCAGGCGCGGTGGGTCACGCCTGTAATCCTAGCACTCTGGGAGGCCGAGGCGGGAGGATCGCTCAAGGTCAGGAGTTCGAAACCAGCCTGAGACGAGACCCCGTTCTCTACTAAAAATAGAGAGAAATTAATTGGCCAACTAAAAATATATAGAAAAAAAAATTAGCCAGGCATGGTGGTGCATGCCTGTAGTCCAGCTACTTGGGGAGGCTGAGGCAGGAGATCGCTTGAGCCCAGGAGTCGGAGGTTGCTGTGAGCTAGGCTGACGCCATGGCACTCACTCTAGCCTGGAAATAGAGTGAGACTCTGTCTCAAAAAAAAAAAAACAAAAAACAAAAAACAAACAATAAAAAAACCAAGCACATATTTGCTCTGTCTACCATGAGCCACACACTGTGTTACGCAGTGAGGATACGGCAGTTAGCAAAACAGGCATGTCATGAGCCTTCTTGAAGCTACGGTGTAATAGCTATGGTATAATAGCGATGGTACAACAACCACCTGGAGGTCTGCTTAACTGGACATTTAGACTCATATGACAAGGAGAGCCACACTGGCATCAGGTTTACTTAGAAGAACGTAGAATAAGCAACACAGAATCCCAACAGGGCAGCAGCAGTTGCTTCTCTTCAGTGGGAGGCTTTGCAGTGGTCTACACAGCAGTCCACCAAGTTATGCCTTCCCACCAAGTATTTGTGGTTCATATTTAGTCCCTCCCAGTCTGCCAGTCATGGGTCTTTTCGAAGCTCAGTGTTGGTCTGGTAACAGAGTAAAAAGGCCACGATTTCCAGAGTAATGAACAAGGAATTCAACCCTGGGTCAAATTTGCCTTTGGCAAAGGAGAAATGAGTATTTTTACCCTTAATCCACAAGGGTTGAAACAAACATTAACCAAGTAATCACAAAACTGATTGCTCCGCCAGGGACTATTTTTGGTGTCGTACCAAACCAACGGTTTGATTCTAGACTTTTTCCTGAGAAGGCATAATTTGACTCTTTTATTGGGACACAGTAAAGAAGATGCCCTCTATTTTTTTTTTTTTTTAACTTTCTTAGAAAACTTTTTATTCTAATGTAGTTTGGTCTCAACCAAGTTCTCCAAATAAGAGCTAGAGACATCACAAGAAAAGTGGACACCTGCCCTGAGGAGGGTGGATGCTATGGGAAGAGGAATAAAAGTGTGAAAACATATTGTAAAACAGAGCAAATAGGATGTGGCCAAATCTAAGAGTGCAAAGCGGTGTAGGAGCTGATTCAAGAGAGATAAGTTGGAGAAAGGTTTTGAACCATCTGGCATTTAAAGCTGAGGAATTTGAAGTTTATTTAAGAGGCCACAAAGAGACACTATAGGTTTACAAGCAAGAAAAAATATTTTAAGCAGGTATATATGGCTTGTTGATTTGTGTCAACAGTAACCTGATCTAATTAATGAAATAATTTTCGCCAGGCACAGTGGCTCATGCCTATAATCGCAGTATTTTGGGAGGCTGAGGTGGGAGGATTGACTGAGCTCAGGAGTTCGAGACCACCCTGAGCAAGAGAGAGATCTTGTTCTTACTAAAAATAGAGAATTTAGCCCGGTCTTGTGGCGCAGGCCTGCCTGTAATCCCAGCTACTGGGGAGGCTGTGGCAGGAGGATCGCTTCAGACCAGGAGTTTGAGGTTGCTGTGGGCTATAATGATGCCACTGCACTCTACCTATGATGACAGAGTGAGACTCTGTCTCAAAAAAAAGTAAATAAATAAAATGAAATGAAATAAAAATAATTTTGATAGCAAGTTATTCAAACCAGAAGAGGAAATTAAAGGAAGTCAAATACCTGTGCACAAATTTCAGGTCAATATTGTATCTATAACCAGGATGTCCCCAGGTCGTAGGTGCCAAGGGAATGGTGTTACCTTTACTGGTCACATCTCGGGGACTCTGATTCTCCCCATGCACTACGGGGAGCCTGCAGGGTCTCCGAGTGGCTCCCTGTGGTTGGGTTATGGGATGGAGGCTCACCGCTGCCCAGGACACTGCCCACCGCCTCACCCAGTGCTGTCCCTGTCCTCTTCAGGGACAAGCTGCCTCCTACTGGGCCCTGAAGTCCATGAGAACTGCCCACGTGTCCTCTGTTATATTTCTGGGGGGGAATCGCTCCTCCTCCCTGATGCAATTAAGCCCAAACCTTCCTCTTTTCTAGCCCCACTGCTAAAGCTGTTGGGTTTTTCACTTTTATAATCAGCTCTCACTAGGACCCAAGACCTTCTCCCCAAGAAATACCTGTTTCTTCTTTAGTTTGAACAGTTCAGAAAACACACTTCACTTCTATTACTTATTTTGATATGTGCTTTTCCTGCCATCTGAAATTGTTTTTAGGTGAATAACATGGCTCACAATGTTTTAAATTCTCCTTTAGCCTTAAATATTGAGTATCTTTTTTCTGTGTGGGAGACAAAGTCTTCCTTGACGGGGTCTTCTCATTTCTGTCCCAGGGGATGGTGGGAGAACCTTGAGTCATGTGGGACCCACTGAGCTCTGAGTGACACAAGGGCTGGAAGTTCCTCAATGTACAGTTTACAGATGTTGTCGCTGGTCTCTAGTGGAGAAAACTAACTGCCTTCTCTCTCCCGCTGACTCTGTCTCTCGCTCTTCAGTGCTCCCAGACAAATCTTATTTACAAGAAATTTCTGAAGAAGAGAGAGAGGAAGGGCCCAGCAGCCAACTGAGCCTTGAACAAGGTAATAATGACAGGGCAGAACGTTCTCAGTTGCTAAGAGGTAAAAGGACAGAGGTGCTGAGTGGAGACTGTGGATCGGGGAAGAATGAGGAAGGACCGTGGGGACGGCAGGGCAGGGAGTCTGTCTGAGCTCCCGCCCAGGCGTGGGGTCCTGGAGGAGCAGCCATCACAAGGAATGGGGGAATGATGAGGCTTTCCTGTGGGCTAATCAGCCCCAATCAGCATCCCAATGGCACCGGAAGCTGTTTGTGATGGATCACTCAACCCCAACCTGGCAGGGGGTTGGGAACAATTGCAGGTAGCATGCCCTGGAGCAAGCACGGCATGGGATGCATTCTTCTCGGAACTATAGCTGGGGGGCTGGGTGCTATTTTCGTCTTAGGCTATTTTCCGGGGCGAGGCCTCTGCGTAGGACAAGTCAGGACAAGTTGTTGGAATGTGGAGGGTCTTAGTCTCCAACAAGGCCCCATTGGAGATACAGAACAGCGAGTCTTCTCTTTGCCCATGAATGTGCCTCCTCTGTGGCCAACCTTACGGCAAGGGGAGGATGGTCACCTGGTTTCCCTGATTCCTTCAGGCCAAGGCGGTCCTGGGGAAAGGGCAGGGGTTGTTCAGCCAACTTTAGAACAGCCACTCATCACCTGCTAAATCTATTCCTAAAACATCCGGGCCAGGCTCTTAAAGGGTTACACATCCTTTAACTTTAACCCACTTTTAGTCTTCAGAATTGCTCCTTTTTACATCAACTTAAATTAGAGTGAGGAGACCAGACTTATCAATGGGTACTTTTAAGGATGAAGGACTTACTTGTTCCATTTGGTAGCTATATGAATATATAAAAATTGCAAAACATTTAGTAGCTATGTGAATATATAAAAATTACAAAACATGAGAAGATGCCTATGTAGGGAAACTGGAATACACTAGTCATAAAATTACTTTTCCAGGGCCTTTTGAAATCTGTTCTTATATTTTTCCATTCATTATTTTTTAAGGATTCTCAGGAATCTTGTAGAAACCTGGTCCCTGTACAAAGAGTGGTGTACAACGTTCTCAATGTGCTGGAGAAGAATTTTAACCTAGAAGTTCTGAAGATGCTGTTCAGCAATGTCCACATGAAGGAATACCCTGATTTAATTCCCATTTATAAAAGCTTCATAAATGGTAATTAGGTTTATTTACCTACCATTTGAGGTCCAGGGTCAATGTTTTATTTTTTTATTTTATTTTATTTTTTATTTTTTTCAGCATATTGTGGGGTTACAAACATTAAGGTTACATATATTGCCCTTGCCCCCCTCCCCACTCGAGTCAGAACCTCAATTGTGTCCAGCCCCCAGTTGGTGCGCATCACATTCATTATATATGTATATACCCGTCCCCTCCCCCCCACCTCCCCAACACCTGATAAATGTTACCCCCATATGTCCACTTAGGTGTTGATCAGTTAATACCAATTTGCTGGTGAGTACATGTGGTGCTTGTTTTTCCATTCTTGGGATAATTCACTTAGTAGAATGGGTTCCAGCTCTAGCCAGGAAAATACAAGCAGGGCCAATGTTTTAACCAAGCACATATTGGGCAGGCGCGGTGGGTCACGCCTGTAATCCTAGCACTCTGGGAGGCCGAGGCGGGAGGATCGCTCAAGGTCAGGAGTTCGAAACCAGCCTGAGCGAGACCCCGTCTCTACTAAAAATAGAGAGAAATTAATTGGCCAACTAAAAATATATAGAAAAAAATATTAGCCAGGCATGGTGGTGCATGCCTGTAGTCCCAGCTACTTGGGAGGCTGAGGCAGGAGGATTGCTTGAGCCCAGGAGTCGGAGGTTGCTGTGAGCTAGGCTGACGCCATGGCACTCACTCTAGCCTGGGAAATAGAGTGAGACTCTGTCTCAAAAAAACAAAACAAAACAATAAAAAAACCAAGCACATATTGATCTTCTACCATGAGCCACACACTGTGTTACGCAGTGAGGATACGGCAGTTAGCAAAACAGGCATGTCATGAGCCTTCTTGAAGCTACGGTGTAATAGCTATGGTATAATAGCTATGGTACAACAACCACCTGGAGGTCTGCTTAACTGGACATTTAGACTCATATGACAAGGAGAGCCACACTGGCATCAGGTTTACTTAGAAGAACGTAGAATAAGCAACACAGAATCCCAACAGGGCAGCAGCAGTTGCTTCTCTTCAGTGGGAGGCTTTGCAGTGGTCTACACAGCAGTCCACCAAGTTATGCCTTCCCACCAAGTATTTGTGGTTCATATTTAGTCCCTCCCAGTCTGCCAGTCATGGGTCTTTTCGAAGCTCAGTGTTGGTCTGGTAACAGAGTAAAAAGGCCACGATTTCCAGAGTAATGAATAAGGAATTCAACCCTGGGTCAAATTTGCCTTTGGCAAAGGAGAAATGAGTATTTTTACCCTTAATCCACAAGGGTTGAAACAAACATTAACCAAGTAATCACAAAACTTGCTCTGCCAGGGACTATTTTTGGTGTCGTACCACACCAACGGTTTGATTCTAGACTTTTTCCTGAGAAGGCATAATTTGACTCTTTTATTGGGACACAGTAAAGAAGATGCCCTCTATTTTTTTTTTTTTAACTTTCTTAGAAAACTTTTTATTCTAATGTAGTTTGGTCTCAACCAAGTTCTCCAAATAAGAGCTAGAGACATCACAAGAAAAGTGGACACCTGCCCTGAGGAGGGTGGATGCTGTGGGAAGAGGAATAAAAGTGTGAAAACATATTGTAAAACAGAGCAAATAGGATGTGGCCAAATCTAAGAGTGCAAAGCAGTGTAGGAGCTGATTCAAGAGAGATAAGTTGGAGAAAGATTTTGAACCATCTGGCATTTAAAGCTGAGGAATTTGAAGTTTATTTAAGAGGCCACAAAGAGACACTATAGGTTTACAAGCAAGAAAAAATATTTTAAGCAGGTATATATGGCTTGTTGATTTGTGTCAACAGTAACCTGATCTAATTAAGAATGAAATAATTTTCGCCAGGCACAGTGGCTCATGCCTATAATCGCAGTAATTTGGGAGGCTGAGGTGGGAGGATTGACTGAGCTCAGGAGTTCGAGACCACCCTGAGCAAGAGAGAGATCTTGTTCTTACTAAAAATAGAGAATTTAGCCCGGTCTTGTGGCGCAGGCCTGCCTGTAATCCCAGCTACTGGGGAGGCTGTGGCAGGAGGATCGCTTCAGACCAGGAGTTTGAGGTTGCTGTGGGCTATAATGATGCCACTGCACTCTACCTATGATGACAGAGTGAGACTCTGTCTCAAAAAAAAGTAAATAAATAAAATGAAATGAAATAAAAATAATTTTGATAGCAAGTTATTCAAACCAGAAGAGGAAATTAAAGGAAGTCAAATACCTGTGCACAAATTTCAGGTCAATATTGTATCTATAACCAGGATGTCCCCAGGTCGTAGGTGCCAAGGGAATGGTGTTACCTTTACTGGTCACATCTCGGGGACTCTGATCCTCCCCATGCACTACGGGGAGCCTGCAGGGTCTCCGAGTGGCTCCCTGTGGTTGGGTTATGGGATGGAGGCTCACCGCTGCCCAGGACACTGCCCACCGCCTCACCCAGTGCTGTCCCTGTCCTCTTCAGGGACAAGCTGCCTCCTACTGGGCCCTGAAGTCCATGAGAACTGCCCACGTGTCCTCTGTTATATTTCTGGGGGGGAATCGCTCCTCCTCCCTGATGCAATTAAGCCCAAACCTTCCTCTTTTCTAGCCCTACTGCTAAAGCTGTTGGGTTTTTCACTTTTATAATCAGCTCTCACTAGGACCCAAGACCTTCTCCCCAAGAAATACCTGTTTCTTCTTTAGTTTGAACAGTTCAGAAAACACACTTCACTTCTATTACTTATTTTGATATGTGCTTTTCCTGCCATCTGAAATTGTTTTTAGGTGAATAACATGGCTCACAATGTTTTAAATTCTCCTTTAGCCTTAAATATTGAGTATCTTTTTTCTGTGTGGGAGACAAAGTCTTCCTTGACGGGGTCTTCTCATTTCTGTCCCAGGGGATGGTGGGAGAACCTTGAGTCATGTGGGACCCACTGAGCTCTGAGTGACACAAGGGCTGGAAGTTCCTCAATGTACAGTTTACAGATGTTGTCGCTGGTCTCTAGTGGAGAAAACTAACTGCCTTCTCTCTCCCGCTGACTCTGTCTCTCGCTCTTCAGTGCTCCCAGACAAATCTTATTTACAAGAAATTTCTGAAGAAGAGAGAGAGGAAGGGCCCAGCAGCCAACTGAGCCTTGAACAAGGTAATAATGACAGGGCAGAACGTTCTCAGTTGCTAAGAGGTAAAAGGACAGAGGTGCTGAGTGGAGACTGTGGATCGGGGAAGAATGAGGAAGGACCGTGGGGACGGCAGGGCAGGGAGTCTGTCTGAGCTCCCGCCCAGGCGTGGGGTCCTGGAGGAGCAGCCATCACAAGACACTACTGGCCCAATAACTAGGACGAAAGGACAAAGACAAGTGTGTTAGTAGCCAGACGGAAAGACACTAACTGCCTGGAAGTGATGGTGATGTAGCGAGGTCCCTGCAGCAGAAGATCCCTGTGAAGCTGTGAAGGGCTAAGAACTGTGGCCCATGGTCAATACTAAAGAGAAGACTCTGGGTGAAAGACAAACACTGTCTTAGTTATCTGAGCCCTCACACTCACAGCACTTCTGACAGCACATGTGGGGGGTTTCCCCACACCAACCAGTTCTCCAATTCTCTGCAGATGCCAAGTGTCCTCTGATTTAATTCAGTTCTAGCAGAGTTAGCCCAGACTGTGCATGTTAAGGGCTCAGTCTCACAGGACTGTCCCTCACTTCAGACGCCAGTCACAGGTCTCAGGTTGTGGCCTGTGCTCCTTACCAACTGGCTATAAATCAAAGGTCCCATGGCCTTCACTTTGAGTTTGACACTTGGCTAGCACAGCTCACAGGACTCAGGGAAACGTTCACACGTTTGCCATGTTTGCCAATGTATTATAAAAAATACAACTCAAGAACAGCCAAATTAAAGTGATGCATAGGGCAACATATGGGGAAGGGGCACACAGCTTCCGTACCCTCTCTGGGCTCACCACCTTCCCAGCACTTCCATTTGTTTGCCAGCCCAGAAGCTCTCTGAACCCAGTCATGTAGGGTTGTTTTAGAAATTTCATTGTATTGGCATGACTGATCTGATAATTGGCTGTAGATGATTAAGGCAACCTCCTGCCCCACCTCTCCTCCCTGGAGGCCAGAGGGAGGGGCTGAAAGTCCCAAATTTCTAGTAGTGTGTTTAGTTCCCCCACAAAACAGCTCACCCTCCTTAGGGGTTTACGGAAAATCATCTCATTAACATAACCTCAGGTGTGGGTGAAAGAGGCTTGTTAAGAATCACAAAAGATGCTCTTTTCACCATTAATGCTTAGGATATTACAAGGGTTTTAAGAACATGGCCAGGATCAGGGGAAGTCCAAAATACATATTTCTTATGGCATCACAATATTACACATAACAATATTACACTTCTGGTGATGGCAGAAGAAAGGACTGATTTAAATGTTAGGGATGTTGTTCAAGAGCAGGAATATTCACAGAGAAAGGAACACAGGAATATTCACAGAGAAAGAAACACAGAGAAAGGACATAGACACACACAGAGGAAGTCAGACAGAAAGAAAAACGACCTACGTACAGAGAGAGAGAGAGAAACAGAGAAGGAGGGGAAACCAAAGGCACAAGAGAAGAGCTGTGTTATTGATAGTAACAGCTCACTCTGAATGAACATCTGCTCTGTGGCAGGTGCTGGTTTAGTGCTACCACTGGACATAGTGTTATTTATGTGCCCATCTTGCAGACAGGGAAACTGAAATCTAGGGAGACCACATGTGGATTTTGCCTAGGGTCAGATGAGCAAAGATGAACCCAGGCATTCTGAACCCAGAGTTGTGTCTTAACCCTGTGCTGCTACCCAGGTAATCTAATGGAAAGGGCAGAAACTTGGAACACAAATGGGCTCATATATGGAGAGATAAAAATACAGAGAAAAGAATAGCAAGAGCTGCAGGAAGTGGAAGCACATCAGACACTGAATCCTCATGGAAAGGCCAACAGGAAAGACTGAACGGGGGTGGGGAGTGGGCAGGGTATGAAAGGTGGTGGGGCCGAGGCAACCGGGACTTGGCAGGAACTGAGACAGGGGCAGTTCTGGGACAAAGGCAGGTTCACTTGGGCCAGGGATGTCAAGACAAGCCATGCCCATTTACTGGAGTATGAGGTGGTCTGGCCAAGGCCTCTCAGCCGGGGGTGTGGCTGACTTCATCGATCTGCCAGTTCCCAACGGGCTCTGCATTGAGACTTAGATGGGTCTTTAACTCCTACACTGTGAAGATTAAAAAGGGACTAGGGGAAAAGGGCAAAACTCAGACTTCAATTTCTGAAATAAACTTCTAATTTCTTCCCTCCAGGAACTGGTGAAAATGTTTTTCAAAACCTGTCTGGACCACACTCGGATTCCTCCTTTTCCACTGGTCTGTTTCTGTTGACTGTTCTGTCCTTTGTTGCCTTATCCCATTCTGGAGTGTGCTGTGGGGCTGCCTCTCGTGTAACTGATTGCCCAGAATTTTCAGTCTTTGCATCTGAAGTGTTTCAAGTTCAGGATTTAAATAACAGGTCTTTATCCTTCATGTTGCCTGGGAGGGTTTCCTCTTCCCATACTACTTGGACACACCTGCTGCCAGTTCCTGCTGGCTCTGGGCCTGGGTGTTTTACTCATGAGCCTGCTTCACAGTTTTCTGCCTGTGTCTGCTTGACTGTGGCTGCTGACTTAGTGCTGTGACCTCCATCCAGCGGTGGCCCTTGCTATGGTGGTGGAGGGGACAAGGAGTGATGAGCTGCAGGGGAAAAATAAAATATCTATGAATCAAAACATGGTTTAGGTACAACCCCACCTGAGAGTGGACTCTTGGAGCACCTCCGTGAAACAGAAAAGGCAAACACAAGGAGACATGACATGACCAGATACAAAAATGATGCACTAGGAGGCCAACAAGCAAATCAACAATGTGCCCAAGAGCCTGAGCCAGCAGGTAAGACTGACTCACTGGGTTTGCATGAGTGTGGAGGGGCTGGGGGTGCCCAGGCTGAGGGCAGGGAGTGGACTAATGCAGGGCGCAGGGAGACAGTTATTTAACAAAGGGGAAAATCACACAGACACAGAGAGTGCAGGAATGGAGCCTGATACCCTGATGAACAGACCTGGAGGAAGAAAGTTAGGAAGGAAAACTGGGAGACAAGGAGGAAAGAGTGGCAGAGCCTCACCAGGGAAGAGAAACTGAAACGAAACCAAAAAGGAGTAAGAGAGAGGCTGGCCATGGACTCAGTGAAGCACAGACACCTTCACAGGGTGGAGGCAGCAAGAGATGCAAACAGGGCTATTAAATAGAAACTTGAGAAGGAAAGAGAGGCAGGGTGAGGTGTAACAGAATGGAAATAGGACAGAGCAAGGCTCGACTGTATCTCAGCTGTGCTCTCTATTGTCTTCAGAGTCCTGTGGACCAGTAGTGACTAATGGAGATGCAAGAAAGGAGACACCCAGCCCATTGCCCTGTGATGAACAAAATAATTATTACTTACCTATAATTGTTTCAGATGCTCTGTTTTTGGTTATTTGTTTATTTTTTTTTTACCATTTTAACCATTTCTTTAAATTGACAAAAATTGTGTATATTTATTGTGTACAATGTTGTTCTGAAATATGTACACATTGTGGCAAGTCTAAATTGAGCTAATTAACTTACATATTACCTTACATACTTACCATTTTTTGTGGTGACAATACTTAAAGTCTATTCTCTTAGTAATTTTCAAGAATACCATACATTATTAACTATCGCCACCACGTTATATAATAGATCTCTTGAACGTATTCTTTGTGTCTAATTGAAACTTTGCATACTTTGACCAACATCTCCCCAATCCTCTTCTCTCCCCAACCCCCACCTCTTTACCACCACACTCTCAACTTCCATGAGCTCAACTTTTCTACATTCTGTGTGTGAGTGAGATATACTCTGTTTGTCTTTCTGTGTTTGACTTATTTCCCTTAACACAGCGTCCTCCAGGTTCATGCATGTTGTTGCAAATGACAGGATTTTCATCATTTTTGAGGCTGAATAGTATTCCATTGTGCATATAGGTCTGACATTTCTTTATCCATTCATCAATTGATGCCATTGATGGATACTTAAGTTGATTCCAAATCTTGGCTATTGTGAATAATGCTACAATGAACATGGGAGTGCAGACATTTCAGTATGCAGACAATCCCTGACTTCTGATGTTTGACTTATGATTTTTCAAGTTTATGATGGGTTTATTAAGGTATTAAATGCATTTTTGACTTACAATGCTTTTGATTTACAATGGGCTTACGGAGATGTAGCGAGGTCATAGGTCTAGAAGCACCTGTACTGATTTCATATTCTTTGGATATATACCAAATATGGGGATTGCTGGGTCATACAGCAGTTCTATTTTTAATTTTTTGAGGAAACTCAATACTGTTTTCCATAATGGTTGAACTAATTTTCATCCCCACTAACAATGTGCACGGGTTCCCTCTTCTCTATATAACTTGAATTGTTTATTATTTGTAATCTTTGATAATAGCCATTCCAACAGGTGTGAGGTGATATCTCATTGTGGTTTTAATTTGCATTTTCTTTATGATTAGAGATACTTAGCATTTTGATACTGTTGACTATTTGTACATGTTCCTTTGAGAAATGTCTACTCAGATACTTTGCCCATTTTTAAATTGGTTTGTTTTTTTCTATTGAATCATTTGAGTTCCTTATATATTTTGGATATTAACCCCTTATCAGATATGGTTTGCCAGTATTTGCTCCCATTCTGTAGGCTGCCTCTTTACTGTAGTAATGGTTTCCTTCCCTATAAAGAAGCTTTTTAAAGTGGTATAGCTCCACTTGTTTATTTTTGCTCTTGTTGATTGTGTTTTTGGTGTTACAACTGAAAAATCATTGCTCAGATCAATGTCTTGGAGCTTCCTTCCATGTTTTCTTCTAGTAGTTTACAGTTTCGGGTCTTATGTTTAAATCCTTAATCAATTTTGAGTTGATGCTTTAATATGGTGTGAAATAAGGGTCTCATTTTTCCTGCACCTGGATTTCCAGTTGTCCTGATACTATTTATTAAAAAGACTTTCCTGTCCCTATTGTGTGTGCTTGGCACCTTTGTTAAAAATCAATTGACCATAAATGCTGAATGCAAACTTTCTATTTTGTTCCACTTGTCTATGTCTCTATTTTTATGCCAATACGATCCGTTTTCAATTACTATAGCTTTGTAGCATATTTTGAAGTCAGGTAGTATGATGCTTTCAGCTTTGTTCTTTTTGTTAAAAATTACTTTGGCTATTCAGGGGTTTTTTGTACTTTCACACAAATTTATATTTGTTTTTTCTGTTTCTGTGAAAAACAACATTGGAATTTTCATAAGGATTGCATTGAATCTGTAGAGCACTTCGAGTAGTATGGACATTTTAATAACATTAATTCTTCCAATCCATGATGGAATATCTTTCCATTTCTTTGTTTCTTCTTTAATTTCATTCATCAATGCCTTAGAGTTTTTGGTGTACACATATTTCACTTCCTTGGTTATATTCATTCTTAAATATTTTTAGTTATTGCAAATTGCTTTGTTCTGATTTGTTTTTCAGATACTTTATTGTTAGTGTATAAAAATGCAACTGATTTTTGCACATGGATTTTGATTTGATTTTTTACTGAATTTGTTTCTTAGTTCTAGCAATCTTTTGGTGACATTTTCATGGTTTTCTTCATGTAAGGTCATGTCATCTGCAAAGAGGGGAATATAACTTCTTCTTTTCCAATTTGAGTGCCTTTTATTTCTTTTTATTGCCTTATTGCTCTGGCTAGGATCTGCAGTATTATACTGAGTGGAAGTGGTGAAGAGTAAGCATCCTAATCTTATTCCCAATGTAAGAGGGAAAACTTTCAACTTTTCACCATTGAGTAGGCTGTTAGTTGTGGGCTTGTCATATATGATCCTTAATATTGTACATTTCTTCCATGGTTAATTTTTGAGAGTTTTTTTTATCATGTTGAGCGTTTTTATCATGAAAGAACGTTGAATTTTGTCAAACAGTTTTTCTGCATCTATTGAGATGATTATATGGTTTTTGTCCTTCATTTTATTAAGGCAGTGGGTGACCTTTATAGATTTGTGTATGTTGAACCATCATTGCATCCCAGGGACAAATCCCATTTCATCATAGTGAATATCTTTTTAATGTGCTATTGAATTTGATTTACTAGTACCTTTTTAAGGATTTTTAATGCATGTTTATCAGGGATATTGGCCTGTAATTTTCTTTTCTTGTCATGTTTTTGTCTGGGTTTGGTATCCTGGTAATGCTGGCTTCATAAAATGAGTTTGGAAGTATCTCTTCATCTAAATTTTTCAGAAGAGTTTGAAAAGATTTGGTATTAGTTCTTTAAATGTTTGGTGGGATTCAGCAATGAAACCGTCTGGTCCTGGGCTTTTGTTTGATGGCGGGTATTTGATTGTGGATTAAATCTCCTTACTTGTTATTGGTCTGATCAGATTTTTCTGTTTCTTTGTGATTCAGTCTTCATAGGCTTTATGTGTCTAGGAATCTATTGATTTCTTGTAGGTTATCCAATTTGTTGGTGTATAACTGTTCATAGTGACCTCTTATGATCCTTTGCATTTCTGTGGTATGAGTTGTATTGTCTCCTCTTCCATTTTGACTTTATTAATTTCAATCTTCTCTCTTTTTTTCTTAGTCTAGCTAAAGGCTTGTTAATTTTGTCTATCTTTTCAGAAATCCAGTTCTTTCTTTTCTTGTTTTTGTAGCCACATTTACGTCTGATCCAATATTATTTCCCTCTTTCTGGTAATTTTAGGCTTAGTTTTTTTTTTTTATCTTTTTCTAGTTTCATGAAGGGTAACCTTAAGTTATTTGAGATCTTTTCTCTTTCTTGATGTAGCTGTTTATTGCTTTAAACTTCCCCTCTTAGAACTGCTCTTGCTGAATTCCATAAGTTTTGATGTATTATATTTCCATTTTCATTTGTCTCAAGATATTTTTAAGTTTCTCTTTTGATTTATTCATTGACCCATTGGTTGTTCAGGAGCATGTTATTTAATTTCCATGTGTTTGTGAATTTTCCAAATTTTTCCTGTTACTGATTTCTACTTTCATGTCATTGTGGTCAGAAACCATGGTTGATATAATTTCAACCTTCTTGACTTTTTAAAGATTTGTCTTGGGGCCTAACATATGATTTATCCTGGAGAATGTTCCACATATAATTAAGAAGAATGTGTATTCTTCTGCTTTTGGATAGAATGGTCTGTGTATGCCTATTAGGTCCATTTGGTCTAATGTGTAATTTAAGTCCAGTGCTTTCTTATTCGTTTTCTGCCTGGATGATATATTCATTCTGAAAGTAAGGGGTTGAAGTTCCCTACTATAATTGTATTGATGTTTATTTTTCCTTCAGATCTATTAATATTTGCTTTATGTGTTTAGTTGCTTGTGTGTTGGGTGCATTTACATTTTCATTGTTACATCATCTTGATGAGTTGACCTCTTCACCATTATATAATGATCTTTTTTGTCTTCATTTATGGTATTTGATTTGAAGTTTATTTTATTTCACATGACATAAGTACAGCTGTTCCTTCTTTCTTTGGTTTTCATTTGCATGGAATGAATATCTTTTTTCATGTTGTGTAATTTTCAGTCTATTAGTGTCCTTAAAGGTGAAGTGAGTCTTTTGTAGGCCACACATATTTGAGTAATTTTTTTAATTCACTCAGCCATTCTATGTCTGTCGATTGGAGAATTTAATCAATTTAAATTTAAGGTAATTACTGATAAGGAAGTAATTATTACTGCCATTTTATTAATTTTTTTCTGGTTGTTTTGTAGATTCTTTATTCCTTTCTTCTTCTGTTGTTTTCTTTTGTGATTAGGTGATTTTTCTCTAGTGTTAAACTTTGATTTCATTTTATC